GACAAGATTCGTCGCGAAGTGCTAAATGGAGCGCAATTTTCGTTAGTACTTACTTTCAAAAGCTACTAATCGCTGTTAGAACAAGGCATCGCCAATTATCTTTCTCACTGGCATTACATTCCACGATAATCAAGGAGGAGGAATGGCCGGAGACTCACAGCTACTGTGCTTTCCTCAGTGGGATGTCCTTCCTCTCTGCGGTGCTAGAAGCGAGGCACTCAGGTAGACACTATAGTTATGAGTCTCTGCCCATTACTCCGCCCATCTGATTATCATGGAATGTGCACTGTATCAACGTCACCATCGCTGCGATCCCTAACGATACTTTTTCCCAGTGATGAATAATTTCAGGAAACAGACAGCCATCAAGATTTGCGTGCAGACTTTGAATGCTGTACGTGACCTTCACGACATTGGCTTCCTGCACAGGTATGACAACGAAGACACCACCTGAAGAGAACTGTGGGCAGCGCTATGGTGGGAGGGGTCGGGGTGGGGCAAATGACAGCAAAACTAAGCCACATCCGCTCTGTGTTCTCCCTCACCCTACAATTAGATGGCGTTGGACGAAATTGGTTGACGTCGGTGAGGACGCAGGAGAGCACAGCGCGGGCGTGGCTTTGATCTCGCTTGCTGCCTTCCCAACCTATCCCATCTTCTGATCTCGCACGTGGATGCATTTTGAACTAATGCACTGAGACATGATCCTGGACCAAGGTCGCACAACGTAGGAACGAAGCGCGCGGTCGCAAAGCGGTCATCAAAGTCGAGAATATCCCGAAGCTTACGGCTATCTCTGAAGGAAATAAGGCTGTCTGCTCCAGAGAGCAGGATACGGCCGTAATGGCCGATTCCTAATTCCAGGCCCTCTGCTGGATCAGTGCATAGGCAAACAAAGTTTTCTAGCTGGTGTCTACAAGGAGATCCACGTTCCAAATATGCTGCAAAAGCGACGTTACAATTGTATTCACTCAAAGGACAATCCGCAGCAGGACCTAATTGGTTTAGACATGCAGTGCACAATATGTCGATACCCAACCAAGCTTGTTTGTGCGCGCTCGCCCCAATGTGGATACCCAGCGCCCCACTCCTAAAGTGCTTGAACGGCGTTTGTAGCTGTAGATGTTCTTGGAAGAATAGCAGCTCAGGCAGCGTTCAGACTTCGTGATGACACGCTGTGACGCACGCCCAGACGCTGACATTGCTACTCCTCTCCAACGGGCACGCAGCCATAGATGGAAATCGACAGGCTCCACCGGCCCTCTTGCTTTGAGAGAGTATGGGAGAATAGAAGGGTACACCAGCCTGATCACACCAATTCTCTTATACTCTCTCGAAACACTGGGGGCCGGCGCAGATCGGTATCCGTCTACGGCTGCGTTCCAGTCTATAGCATTGGAGCGCGGTGGCGCAATTTGTCGACGGGGGGGGGGCATTTTGCCATCTAGGTAGCCGTTTCTCGAGTTGACACGTTTTAGGATAGTGGCTAGACGATCTTACTTCAGCTTCACAAGAGTTCACAAGTTTTACCAGAGTGAGATTTGTAAACCGGAACTAGGGAAGCAATGATAATACAAAACCCCCCCCCCCGTCGACAAACAGCGCCGAGCGGGTTATAATAGTAGCGCGTCGATGCGCGTTATCGCGAAGTCTGAACGCTGCCTCAGTGACCGGATGCTTGCTCTGCCGTTCCATGAAGTTCTGCCTGAGCAAAAATCGATCGAAATTCGGAAGCTGTCCTTTTCAGGGACCTGAAACTCGCCAACTTTGCCATAGGTATCGATAAACCATCACATGAGACCATTTTCATGCTCGATTTCGGCATCGCCAAACGTATCGCTGGAGATGACGGAATCATTCCGTAAGTTTCATGGCGGTATGATATGCCAACGTAAAGCTCAGCGGGGGAAAGCCGATTTGGCACTATGTGCCTCGGAAGGGGCCCCAGCCCAAGGAGGTTCAGCCACGTCCTGCGGTTCAGTTGCAGAGGGAATATGTGATGCTATCAATGTTAGAACATGCCTCGGCAAGAAGGCGTGGATGAGCCGGCTATTCCTAAGCTGACTCCGCTGGTGGCCCCTACCAAAGCACGGGGCACCGTTGATCCTTCCCAATATCGAATCCTAGCGATGTACAAGACATTCCTACAAGAAATAGGCCAAGTTAC